AGCTGCACCATCTTTTACAGGACACCAGAGCCCTGGAAAAGAAATTGGAAGCAGAGCTTCATGGGCCACAAGAATTAGAATGGGACAGTGTCTACTCCTTCCCGGCTAAAGAAACATCTTTTCAAAACTGTGACCTAAACCTAGGATCTTCCATATCATTAAAAGACCTTGTTCTTATCCTCGATTATCCTTTACAATCAGTACTTGCTAATCCATCAGGATCTATTCAGGCTAGAATCAATAATCCATCTTTAAAACTGCTAGCTCAAAGTTGCAATTGCAATACATCTCATTATCTCCAAATCTGAGAAACCTACACAAAAAGATTCTAAGGTTTTGGAAAGATTTCACCAGCCCAGGCTGCCTTTTGGTTTCTTGCTCCAGAAAGAAAGAGAGGGGGAGAGAGAATCTGAGATTTTTGGGGACAGCTTTGTCGCCTTTGGTTCGACTTGTGATTCAGTCCTCACTTTGACACCTGAATTAGCTTAACTTGTTTCCCTGTTCTTTCCATTCGTATTATCTTTCTTTTTTTACTGGCTAACACTTGTCACAGCTGTCTTCGGTTGTACTTTTCCTGCTTCCCTGCATTTGCAGCCTGTGGTTATCTTACATTTGAAAACTAGTTTGAAAGGACTCCGTTCCAAGGCACAAGTTTGGAATTGATATGAAATCATCACGTTCGAGTAATAATGTGTGGTTGCAGTTATCAGGGGCAAAGGAACTCATCTGCTTCTGATGTAGTGGAGTTGAGGTGATCTGGGAAAATCTTTCATTACATCCTGTTGATAATTTAAAATATTTGTAAAACATCCACATTTCTTGTAGCTTTTAATCTGTGAAGTGGACAAATACATAGCACTTTGGGGGCGTGCAAGTCCGGTATGAACTTGTCAGAGTGAGAATGTACAGGTTGGATAACTTAATGAAATGTATCGATTGATTACATGCTATCAAGCTGGTGTTGACTCTTAGCGACCACATAGATAGACCTTCTGCAGGAGAATCTATCCCTAACCTGGTCCTTCAGGCCTTCCAATGGCGCACCCATCACCACTGTAATTGAGCCCCTCCACTTTGCTGATGGTCGTCCTCTTCTTCTGTTTCCCTCCACCTTTCCCAGCACCACAGCCTTCTTCAGAGAGCTAGGTCTTTGCATAATATGTCCCAAATATGATAATTTGAGCCTGGTCACCTGCACCTTGAGTGAGAACTCTGGTTTGATTTGTCCGATGACCCATTTGTTTGTTTTCTTGGCTGTCCACGGTATTCTCAGGAGTCTTCTCCAACACCAAAGTTCAAGAATGTCAATATTCTTTCTATCCTGTTTCTTCAAAGTCCATTAATGAATGAAAATACCCTCCATTCTTTGGCATAGCAATCTGCCTTCACCATGGCAAATACGTGGCTCTTTAGGAAAGCCTTTCGGTAGTTCACATGAATGTTTCTGCTTCCGCCTCTTTATTTTTCTTTTTATGGAATGTACCATTTTTTAACTAGGTTTAATTTTTTATTTTGTGCTTTGTTTTTCCTGGTAGCGTGCATTTGTTTTCATTTTCTTTTCACTTAATTTTGATAAGCACTTCGATTTTTAAAAAAAGTTAATTAAAGGGCCACTTCATTCAGTCCTCTCCCAGAAGACTTTCTCCCTTCACAAATTGCAGTATGAATTAATCCACCTCCTGAATATCACAGCAGAGTCCTGGGCTCAAAAGGTTAATCAGAAAGCATCTTCAAGTTGTGCGTTCTGAGAGAAACCCCACTCTCATTTATTAAGAATAAATGCTGACTTTCATGCATGGTGAAGGCTATGGGGAATCTAGGAATGATATTTTATTGAATAATTGCAATGATGCCACTGGTTTCCCACAAAGCAGGACACTGCTTTTGCTATAATGTGTCATAGAAGAAGGGATTTGTTTTCCCCCCACCCTTTTCCTTTGTGTTCTTCTCTATCCTTTCTAATCTTCTCAGTAGCCAACATCTTCTGGGTCACCTGCAAAGTTATTGAAAGTCAAGAGTCCCTCAGGTTGAGTTTGACACTTGGGGATCACATGAACTATCTGCATAGGTTTGTGGGAAGAATGCAGAAGCAATTTGCACCTATCAAAATGTAGTTAATCTTGAAAGAGTTAATTGAGCTGGACCTAACAGGGGTTTAAATGGGAGAACACCATCTGAGAAGACCTCAAAAAATCTCAGAAGGTGTCACTGGCCAACCACTTCTGATTTCTTTTTTCAAGAAACCAATATTTAAAATATGAAAAAGTGTAAAAACACTTTTTTTATTTTTATGTTGATGTCTATATGGATGGGGGGGGGGTTAATTTTTTTCTTAAAAAATTATTAAGTCCTGAGACCAGTGCACATTTCTACTTGTAACCTCCCATCATACAGTGAGATGTTTTGCTTCAGTAGGTGAAACCATTTAAATCCTGGTTGGTTTTCTGCCATTCCGAGTTTAATGGACTATAATTTTTAAGTTTGGGACTATCACATTTGCCTTTTGCTCTCACACTTTGGTGCTTTGTTCCTTTTCTGTTGAAGCTTTCCATTCCCTGTGATGCTTTCAATTTAATGTCAGTATATTAACTAGGCTATGAAATTGCAGCCAGTCAGAAAGAGGCTATACCATGGTGTATGAAGCTCCCATGTCAATGTCACACCCACCACAACACAGGTTTGTTGTGACCAGCATACAGATGGATGTAGAAAACTATCGTTTTCTGGATACCGAGAAGCAATATTTACTTTCAGATGTCTGGCTGCAGGAAGTCATCTCATGTGAACCTTCTGTATAAATTCACTGTTAATCTGAAATTACAAAGATTGATATCGCCAAAAGAGGGAGAGCAGGAAGGGAGAGATCTCTTAGAAGGTTAAAAAACCAAAGCCTCCAATCTTTACCTGAATTAATGATGCTTTACTGATGCTGATAATGATTCTTAAAGGGTGAAATAATTGCCAGATGAACTCTCTTGTCAACTCTGAATATCTGAGGGTGAATCTGTTTGCATTTGTTATTTAAAGGTCTTCTTTCTGACAGCCTACTCAAGAATGTAGCACATTTTAAACACTGGCCTATTCATTTGTACAGAGTGTGAGGGTTCTTTGTGTTTTCAGGAGTAGAAACATGGCCATTACCATTCTCATTCTAATGACAGTGCTAGAAGTTATAGAAGTTATATAGAAGAAATAATTGAAAAAAAAACTGAGGAGGCCATCTGTTTGGGTAACATTTCAAGGTGTCTACAGCCCCAGCACTGGTGGAAAGAGGTCAGGAAGAATCTTGTCCACCTCAAATATCTTTGATATTAATGCCAGAGAAGTGATTACTGCAACCCCCCCCAAAAAAACTATTCTAGGAGAGTATAAGACAATACTTCATACCATGCTAAATAAAGCTGGGGGAGAAAAGAGCCATTTGCATTTAAATGAGGAAGTATCTTGCGATTTTGAATCAATAAAACTGAAGCGTTCATTTTATCATTCAAAATTTGCAGTTCTCCAAATTTTGCACTGCAGCTCAGGCATGGTTTAAGCAAGCATATTAAAGGAAAACTTTATTCTAAAGCCCATCTTACAGACTGTGGAAAAATGCATTATATTCAAGAACATTATTTGCAGTCCTGTGTACTGTGGGAAAAATTGCAGAACGAAAAAAGTAGGTCGAGGAAAATGTGCACCAAATTTGAGCCCCGTGAAATAATGAGAAACTGAAGAGAACTGAACTTAATGTTTTCACACTGATAGGTGCACCATTCCTTGACATGAAATAATGTGTCATTTTATAGGGTAGGGCAGTATATTTATCTATCTACTTGCAATGCCCTGTGACTGCAATTTCTTTCCTTCCAGGGAAAAATATTATCTTGGATCTTAAAAGAACTGACTTCGGTCCATGGGAGGGAGAGGAAATCTTCAAGCCGTAGATAGCCCCTGAACAATGTCCTGTGACTTCTATGCACCTCCACAGTCGTGCCCCTGAAATTTGACAGGAGGCATCTGAACACCAGTGTTGGCTTTGCTCTCATTTGAAATGGAAACATAAGAGAAAGGAGCAACTTTGAACCTCAGATACACCCTACCTCAACAAATGGCGAGGGAATAGGGGAACTCTAAAAAAATAGAGAAGGGGAAGGGAACGGTGCCATCATAACATTCTTGCCCTTTCATGACTTGAATATTACTGGCCACAAGGAAAAATGTGCCCTCAGCTCACCCCAGATCAGCTTGCCTGGAAAATGCATGGTGAGTTAGAAGGTGTGCTTTCAGGTCTTGGTCCTCCGCCAGGATTTTGGCTTTCAACCACTGGTCTCTGCTCCGTCCATTCTCTGCTAGCAGTGCAAGGAAGAACTCCCTGTGGGAGGTGAACGAAAGGGTATCCCCATTGCTTACGCCACCATGCCAATTGGATTTCTGGTTAACTTAATTTCAGCATGGTAGCGCTTTGCTGGAACAGTAGGTGTGCTCCATGGATACGAGGCACATGGTTGAAGCAAATCTTTCTCTTTGGCTCCCCCCTTCCCCTTTTAAACTATAAAAGCTTCCCCCCAGCTTTACTTGCCCCACTTGTGGAGGCTCATTAAAATTCCACAATTCCAGCCCTCCCGGAATGATGTTACTAAATCATCTTCTCCCCTCTTCCCCACCCCTGCCCTTCTTCTTTCTCTTTGCATCTGAGAAAACCATTCCTGGTCATTTCTGAAACCTTTTCCATTTCTCTCTGCAGGTTGTTGTTTCATCACATTTTATACAAGAAAAGCGGCATTAGAGGCTCAGAACGCGCTGCACAATATTAAAACTTTACCTGGGGTGAGTACGATTATTTTATGTCATGGTAATCATTTGGATGATGGACGGAGGGGAGCCGGGGTTGGGGGCGAGAGGGGAAAGGAAAGGAATTGCTTCTTTTGCAGAATATGCTGTGTATCAGCTCTGAGTGCCCCAAATGGCTTTCGTCTTTCAGCAGAGGTTAATGACCTCATGGCTGGCCACACAATGATGATCTTTGAGAAGGGTTGAAAATGCACCCCAGATGTAAACCAGAGCAATAGTTCATTATAAGTGTGTCTGTGTTTTTTAAGTACAGTTCCCATTCCTAACAGATGGAGAGTGAGTAGTCCTCCACAGCTTCTTAAATTATCATCTCTATTAGCCTGGCCTGCGTGGCCAGGAGCAAGGCATGCTGGGAATTGTAGTTGGGCAACTGTTGGAGGGCTACAAGTTCCCTTCTCCAGTGTCAGATGAGAAGGAGAATGGGAAGTGTGTGGAAAGAATTAAGTGGATCAGGATCCAGAGAAACATGTCAGAATGGGGGTTGGTTTTATTGTGAAGGTATATGAATCCATCTCTTGGATGTTCGGTTCCTGAAAAGAGGCAGGAGAAGCATCTTTTCTTGGCTAGCTTCTTTGGGGGCTGGCACACCACCCGAGAATGCGTTGGATAGTGTGTGGCTCATTGTGTTCTGGTAATCCTTGCCTTAGCCTGTGATAAGAACACAACAATTGTGCTACATTGTTCCAGGTTGTGGTATGACCAACCTCTATGTTCTTAAAAGAACAGGACAGTAATCCATTCCAGAAACTGATGATGATGAGGTTGGTCTTGATTTTGATTGATTGATTGATTGATTGATTGATTATGTGCCATCAAGTCATTTCAATTCCTAGCAACCAAATAGATAGATTTTCTCCATGACAATCTATCCCTAACCTGGTCTTTCAGGTCTCCCAATGGTTCACCCATTGCCACTGTGACTGAGTCCATCCACCTTGCTGCTGTTATCCTCTTCTTCTCCTTCCTTCTACCTTTCCCATCATTAGAGCATTCTTGATTAGGATCAAGCCAAATGCTTGATGGTAAACATTCTGGTATCAAATGTGATTTCAGCCATAAAAAAAATAATAAGTTTTGAGATTCTGAGGCCACCTTTTAGAGGGCTTCAAGTGAGCTGGCAGACATTAGAACCACATTCCCAACCAGTAGCACCTGCAACATCGAGTTGGTTTAGTCAGAAAGCAGAAAGCACATTGTGATCCCACACACCCCACCCCTTTGGGGCATGCATGCAATATTGCAAAGCCCATTGAAATGAAGAGAAACTTGGATAACAATGTTACACTGCTTTCATCAGCATGGCCCACCCCTTGTCCCACCCTAAGGGCACTACTATTGCCAACCCATAGGCTTTCCAGTGATTGACTGAAGACAAAAGCAGATGCTTGGTTTACCCTCACTGATGTCATTGCACACTGTGATCTGATTGGCTGCCTGTGAAAAAGCATATGAGACAAATCAGGAATGTTTGTCTAAGCAACGATTGGTGGAGGGTGCAGTATTTCTCAGCCTTGGCAACTTGAAGATGTCTGGACTTCAACTCCCAGAATTCCCCAGCCAGCATACTGCCAAAGTTGAGAAACACTGGTATAGAGTTATATGACAAATTTTTTAAATCTCTGAAATGCTTCTGAAAAGCTACTGGTAAAAGAATGTTATCTTTTCACCAACCCAAGATGAGCACAAAATATTCCCCACTGAAATTCTCCACTCAGTATTAAATTCTAAGTGAAAGTTAAAGTTTTTCTGCAGACACAGGTCCCTGTTTTGTTCAACTTATCCCTAAATCAGGACTTCTTTGTAATGTAATGGTTAGAAATTCTGATTTTAACCCTGAGGACCTCAGCTGGAATTCTCAGTGAGACAAGGAATCCATTATGATCTTCTTCAGGCACAAAGAGGATTGAAAGCTAGTGTATAAATTCTAATAGAATTAACTTTCAGCAATTGGTGCCAGAAAATGCCATTAGCAGTCATCTTTCTCCTTTTTTTCTCTTCTTTTCAAGCAAAAGAATGTGTGCTTTTTGGCACACAGACCAAGTACAGTTTAGGTACAATTGATTATTTGCAGCAATAGCAAATTGAACAATGGAGCTGGCCAGAAATATAGGTACTGCAGAAAATAAGAAAAAAAATAATGGCAGTGATGCTGCTACAGCCATCCACAAGGGGACAAGGAGGACAAGTGACATCATGATGAGAATCCTGTCATTTGTGTCCGTTGCATCATGCTCGTTCTGATTTCACTGATTTGCTTAGAGCACCATTTAGATCTCCTACCAGCTACAAATATCGCAATGACTTCACATGGATCATGACATCACAATCGAAGTAGTAATGTGCCGTTTGTAGGATGATGTCATCATGGCTTGTACCAAACACTTGTGGCTGGTACAGTTATAGGTGCCTCTGAGCAAACAAAGAAGGAAATCAAAATCAGCAGAGCCCAGCTGGTCTGGGCTGAGCCAAATGGAAGAGCTGTATGCTGTTGTCAAAGAAACTTGGGTTGACCAGAGCCATGTGAACTGGAAAATTTTAATTATTATTCCTTGCCAATGGAGAGACTCTCCAGGGAACCAATCAAGGGTTCCAAGGAGGGAGTTTCTGTGTCTTCTTGAGTGAGAATTCAGGCTCTGCCTTTGGGACTAAGTTCAGCAGGTGGTAAATCAAAATGGTGCTATCTCTCTTTATATAATCCTGGGTTTAAGGTTCCAGCTTAATTGCTGTCTGTACTCTGTTCTTCTTAATTGTCTATAATAATATTTTGTTCCTGCATGTTGCAAATGTCTCCACATTCTGCTCCTTCTCTTCTTTGGGTTTCTAGAGCAGCCTTCTTTCAATTCAGTAGTTTCCAGAGCTATTGAACTGCAACTCCCATCTTCCCCAGCCAAAATGATCCTCCTTCGTGATATCTGGGGACACTTGGCTGTTGTCTAATATACCTCCTGGGCATCATGTTGATGGAAAGCTGCTTTGGAAGATAGATGATCCCTAAAGGAAAGATTAAAGCTTCCTGAATTTAGCACACATGGATCTAAATGTATGCTGAAAAATGCGACACAGCCTGTGATTTCACACATTTACAGGCGCTGAGCTATATTTTGAACTGTGAATAGCACTACAGGATAAATCTTCTAATAATGCAGAAGTCAGGGGGGTAGGGCATGGTATAAATCTAAATAAATAAATAAAAACAATTTTAATGGAACACATTTCCTTCCTTGCTTTTAGTAGGATCAGTTGCTACAGAGAGAGAGAGAGGAAAAAAAAGCAGTTGATGACAAAATCAGTAATGGCTGTAGCCTGGCATTAGATGTCCTGGTTTCCATGCATGTGATCACCACTTCAATCTATGATATTTCCAGGTGTAGGTGAAGTCCTTGGTCTCCAGATCACAGTAGATACTATTGGGCCAGGGGGAAAGTACTAGAGAAGATGGATCTGCAATAAGGTAGCTTCTGATGTTTGTAACCTCAAGAACAGGCAACTTCCCTTGGTCAATGCTGCCAAATTTGGGCTACAAGAATCCAGATGACCAGTAGATGAATGCAAAGAGCTTTGTATTCTGGATCCATGTGCTGGAGCTTTCCTTCAACAGTCTATGCGCTCACAACTCCTGCAACAGCCCCAACTTTCTCTTGAGCATTGTTCAAGTCAATCTGGGCAGGATAGAGGCATTGTTGTCTAGTCTCACCTTCCCATTTTCCAAGGATGGGTCTTCCTGGGTTTCTTCCTAAGTGAACCTCATGCTAGGTCCTGGCACTAAGACTGCAAATCCACTCCAGGCAGCCCAAATGCATATCTTCTACTTCTTGCAAAAGTACAGTACCTTTTGATAGGTACCCGGTAGCAGGGTCTGGATGCAGATCTTTGGGGGGGGGGAGCATACCCCATTTACCTGACTCTCTCAACTTGGTTTCTGTTGAAGTATGGAGGTAGCCCTCTCCCTGGTGGGTTCTCAGTTAGAAGGTATATCACCTCTCCTCTGGTGTCCAGCAAATGACCCACTTCCTTCATGATTTCCATCTCTACTTTTCTGGATGAATTCTACTGACTGGTTTCCAGTGAGTCCTTTCAAGTGATTCAACAGGACTACTTTTATAGGGCCTCCCTGATCAGCCTGTCCCCACTTGCTGATTGCAGTGTCACCTTAACATCATGACAATCTCAATCTGAGATTGATTATCTTCTCACAAAACTGGGTCCATCTCAACCCCACCCCTTGAACTGAACTTTTATGTCATCACTTTGTGTACTGGTATAAAAAGATGTTCCTCCCTGCCTCCTGCCCCCCTCCCTTTAATCTGACACTATACTGGCATAGTTCAATTTAAAATGCTTTGGTACCCAGGATCTTAGAGTGAGGTCTGTTTCAGGTATGACCATTCTAATTTGGATAATATAATCAGAGACACACTGGGAAACATTAATGCAAAATATGTCCCAGAGAAAAGGGAGATAAATTACACTATGGGTGTATGGAAAGTTTGCCTTGATTCTGTTTTACATAGTAGGATACAACCAGTCTTTGGGGAGAACAGCCATAGTTGTAGTAGACTAGAGTGAGATGGCCACAGAAACTGACTGGTGACCAGAAGGGATGCAGAGTGCCTATATCAGTATGAAATACCCACAATGCACCCCTGGCTGATGGTTCATCAGGGCAGAGTGGCAGTACCACTTGGCAGTGATCCAGCTGATCATATCCACACCCAAAGGCAGAACAGAGAGATCCCAGCTATGCACACTGTTTGTGGGCCATCTAGACCGTGTACCCAAAACTAGAGTCCCATCAAGACATGCTAGTGATCTGCAAAGTTTCCAGCTTGTCCAGGCAAATGGGAGCCTTATCTCACAAGGGGTACCCTACTGGCAGATGATTTTCCCTTTTTACTTGGAGGGAACTCATACAGATTCATTCAATATTTTAGAGAGTGGTGGATCCACAACATCTGAGAACCACTGAACTAAAATGC